ATGTGGCAGTGTGCTTATTAACAGCAGGAATTATCCACTGGGTCGTTAAGAAAAATGCTAATTCCAGCCACCGAGTGCGAAAACTGGTAATTTTGTCAAGTACGTGTAGTCAAATAGGACTTTTTGGCAGCCAAATGTTGATGTAGCAGGATGTGCTTTTCTGATTGGCATATGCTAACAGTACTACCTCCCCAGCCAGGGGGAGGATAATTTACTTTTCATTTCCATTGGAAATGAGGTGAACCAGAATGTGGTAGATTGTTAAAACCCAGTTATGCGGTTTAATTGATTTGCTCAAAAGCACGACACCCTGCGTCCTCAGCCCTCTCCGTCATCACTTCCAGGAAACCAGCAAGGACAAATCTCCTGAGATGCTTTCCAGCTCCTTTGGGGTCTTGTGGCCATTTCCCAGGCATGTTCTAAGGGTTCAAGGGGCCTTGGGGCTGGTTGAAAGTCTCCGCACTGAGAAATCCAGGCAGGGATTTCTCTGCTCTCTGCCACAAAGCAGCTGTCATGACCAGGGGATAAAGTTCCCCTAAAACTTGGCTGTCCCCCTCATCTGCTCCTGGCTCTGCTCCCTGCTGGTGGGGTCCCTGGCTGCTCTTCCACGGGGCACCCTGGTGTGGGGCACCCCGCTGCTGCCAGCTTTCCCTGCTTTGTTTGCTTAGTGTGACTGTGCACTTAGAAAAAAGGCCCACTTTGGGAAAAGACAAGCAATTTCAAAAAATATTTACCTTTTATAGCTTCAGTATAAGGAACTTTTTCAGTTTTTTTTTTTTTTTAATGGAAATATGAACTATCCTAATTCTTGTCTTTTATTTTTTTTAATTTCCTGTAATACTTGCAGTATTCCAGTAAGAGGTGTTTCAATTGCTACCATATCTCCATAATTTTTAATTTCCATCCACTTAAGTGGTCCAAGACCCAGCAAAACAGCTACAAATACCTGTTAACAGCTCCAAAGCCATGCATTGACAGGCCATGGAAGCAGCCAGTATTCGGCCTGCCGGTAACTCAGCCAGCTGGATTTGCTGGCAGCAGAGGTGACCTGGAGCTGGAGCAGAGCCTTCCTTTTGGGTTTCCTCGGATGGGATAAGTACATCCTGCTCGGGGAACTCGCCATTGATTTTATGCACCTTGAAAGTAAATGTCAGTAATATCACTTAGGAAATAGAAAGCGACTCTGCAAAGCCTTCTCCTCACTGGCAATAGCAGCTTTGAGCTCCCTCGTGATGCTTCTGGGGAAAGGATGCTTCAAGTGTGGGGCTGCCGGTAAGGAGATTCTGTTGATGTGCTTATTAGAGGGAAAAAAAAATCATAGGAGTTTAATTGAAACCTCAAAACTGCTCAGTGTGTTTATTGGAAGACGTGATCCCTTAGGGAAAGATTCTGTCCTAGGTGCAAGAAACCTTAATATTAAATTAATTAAGATTGCTTTGGCACAATAATAGAGGAAAGGACACAAAGGACACACTGAGGGGTGGAACCGGTCCCCGTGTTGCACCCTCAGGGATGCTGCTTGGGGCGGCTTCCAGCGAGGCACACTTGGGGTTCCTTTTGCTTTGGGTGAGGCACAGCACCAGCTGCACCTTCAGTCTGCATCTGCATTAAATGTGTGTAATAGATGTGATGTTTCCCCTTCAGATATATGAAGGGTAAAGTCAGGAGACTGGGATAAAACTTCCTTCCGAAGGGGCCTGGGGAACCGTGCTCCTCCAGGAGCCACCCTGCAGCACAAGCGAACAATCCTTCCCAGAATTTCTGGTTTACAGGGCTCGTTTCAGCCCTCTGGGGAGCCACCAGGCCAAGTTACGTGTCCATCTTCCCCATCAGCGTGGCGAACGCTGCTGGCTGCTTCCAGCAGTAACCCAGGGAAACGGCGGGGCCGAGTAACACAAGGGACGGCTTGGCAGGAGCAGAGCACGTCAGCACGAAGCTCCGCAGGGCCGAGGGAGCTGTTTTCTGGACAAAAGGTTTAGAAAGAGGCACGAACACCAGCGGTTCTTCTTTTGTTTCACTCGATTTCACTGGTCCCTTCCCCTGTGCCTCTCCCACGCACTCATCTGGGAGGCCCCAAGCTTGCATCCTGCTGAGTTCTGTGCTCTCCTGCTCAGCTATCAGCGCAAATCAGGTTGTGTTGAGCTGACCAGGAGAGGCTGCTAACTGCATTTTTCCCCTCCGGAGGTGTGATTTCATTTCCCTAAATTTCCATTTGTCTTCTCACGAGCTGATGGAGCCCCAAACCCAGACCTGCTCTCTCTGCGGTGTCTGCACCTAACTGCAGTGCTTCGTGCTTTGCCTGGGATTAAAATCTATGAAAACAGAGGGCTAAGAGAAAGCCAGGATGGAAAGTGTGTTGCTGCTGGAGCCCCCAGGAGGCCAGAGGCACATTTTTATGAGGCCAGCATCTGGGCAGAGGTTTCTGCTGGGGTTTCACCCTCCGCTGGCATCTGCGGTGTCCCCTTTTTGCAGAGCACATCCAGAGAAGAGAGGTTGGGGTCAGTGTAGGGCAGCCTTAACCAGGGCCAAATTCTGCTGCCTGCAAGGCTCATGGAAATTGGAAATTCAGCACCTTTGGTGGCCATGTTACAAGCTGGGCTTTCTTAACTATAGGAGAGTTTTGGTACAAACCAAGACAGGACAGAAATCTTTAAATAAATCCTTTCATAGAATGTATGCAATGTATGAGACAGCTCCTCAAGTTTTAAAAGGACTTCCCAACACAATTAGGGAATGAATCAAGACTTTAAAGAAAACTCAGAAAAGACTTTTCAGGTTCTGCATAATTATATTAGGCAAGAGTAATTTTTAACTTGGATGATGCTATTGAGTGAAATCCAATGAGCTCTGAATCCCAGGTGACAGCGTGAAGCATTTCCTTTTGCTCGTTTGCAGGACGCTCAGCAGCTGAAGCAGCACAAACAGCAGTGGGACCACAGGGTTTTCATCGTAGTCGAAAAAATATATATTCTATATATAATATAGAATTTCATAGCTTTTTTTTGGGTGAGCCTGAGCAAAGTCTCTTCACCTGTGTGCACCAGCTCAGCACAGCTGAGGCTAAATTGTGAAGGTTAAATAAATAAAGCTGGTCCTTGACAAGCACACTACTCTGAGTGAAAGCCTGTCATCTTGTGCCAGCTGAGAACTTGGTCCCTGCCGCTTAATGATCTTTCTCAGCGTCTTGAAGCAACTCCAGAAGATAACTTCTTTGTATACAGGAGGCTGTGAGACATGTTAGGTTTTAGAAGACAACACAAGCTTAGAGAAGTGTCATCTATTTAACAACAGAGACCGTCAACAGCTTGCAGCGGTGGGGTATATCTAGGAATTTCCTTGGGAAATTGTCCACAGAAGAGCTCTGTTATTATTACAAGCATAAACCAAGAGACGATGTTCTCACAATGTGGGCTGCTAGAGACAAAACCCAGCTGGTACTTCTACTGCATGCATCGAGCTCTGCAGCACAAGGCTGTACAGAGACTTTAGCTGACTAAAGAAAACTTTGGCAGCAGCAACCCTGCCTGTCTTCACCAAAAGAGGAGCTGTGTCGTGCTTAAATTTATGGACAAAGAAACTGAAGTGCTTCTGATTGCAGGGCACCTGCTACGCACATGATTACGTGCTTCTTATTTCTTTGTTTTAGGGATCCTCTGTTGCATTCTGGGTTGTTGTTTGTTGGGTTTTAGTTTGGTTTGGGTTGATTTTTGTTCATTCTTCATTTTTCCATTCATCTCTAGTATTTCTGAATCCCTCCAAGGCAAAGAGAATGTATATCTGAACAAGATATCAGGTATACAGCACGTGCCTGGACACCGCAGTGATCACGCTGTGTGTGGTGGTGGTGCAGGGACATCTCCATTTGAGATGTTGGCAGATGAGGCTTTCCTGGGTTTGGGGCTGCAGAGGGACATGGGGTTGGCTCAGGGTGCAAGGTTGCTTCTGTATTTTAAAGCACTGAGCTGCAGATGGGTCTATCTGGGTGGAAGAAGTTAGCGTGCCTCGTAACCCCACCACAGGGCAAAGTTCCCTATTACTTTTTGTAGTTTTGTCCTTTTGTTGGTGTTTCCTTGCTTTTAATAAAATTGCTTCCATGGCAATTTGCAGCATGCAGTTCAATTCTTGTTAATAGTTTGAAATTTTAAACTTTGAGGGGCTTTTGATCTGTCATATACTCATCTCAGGGATGTGCAGTGCCTCCTCCTGAACTGCTGAACAGCAAGGACGAACCCTGCGGGTGCCCAGCAAATCTTTTTCCCCAGGCTGCTGCTTGTTAAACTCAGCTCCAGCAGGTTCCTCGGCAGTGCAGGAGGCCCTCACAAAGGCTTCCTGCTTTTATTTGACACGAACAGCGACTTCCACTTGATTCAATCACGGCTTAATTTGATCCTCCATTTAATTTTATCAAAACTGCAGTAATCAAATAATTTGTACTAAAACCATTATAACTTCCACTTGTTTATTCTGATCAATTTTAATCCGTTAAGGCACAAGGGCTATTGGATAATTTGATTACTGGATAAGGGAAAGCTGTCATTAAATCTACAAGGGAAGGCCAGAGCACAAACTGAAAGTTAAAAACATCCCAAGTAGAGCTCATAATAAAGAAAAAAAATAAGAAAATAACATGCTGTTATTTAGAATTCATGCTACGCACAATGAAAGCTAAGAAGCATCCTACTGCTTGCAAGATAGAAAGATAACAGCATGTTTTGGTCAGTGACATTTGTGGCAATGAACAACACTGAAAAGGGGAAGAAAATGTAATTGGGTGCGAGTGAATTTGACTTTCATGAGCATTGACCCACCTGAATGAACGTATGTCAGCGGAGACTGAGCTTTCCCTGTGCTCAATAAGTCTCTAAAACCAAAGGCAGCAGAGTAAGAGGAAGGAAAAGATTTCCACTGCAGGTTGCTCCTCTGCTGCTGTGAGAAATGAAGCACAATCCACTTCACTGACCATTCCTCCTGCCTGACTGTGCCACGTCTCTCTCCCGCAGGTCAACACTTTCATCTCCTTCGTGTTCCCCATGGTCGTGCATTTCCGTGCTCAACACCATCATTGCCAACCAGCTCCTGGTCATGTTCAAGCAGGCAGCCCAGGAGAACCAGGTGTGCACCATCGGTGGGCAGCAGACGATGCTCAGCATGTCCATGGAGCCCGGCCGCGTGCAAGCCCTGAAGCACGGCGTCAGGGTCCTGCGTAAGTAGCAGCACATTTTGGCACTGAACTTGTCTGTGTAAATCTGATCTGAAGGTGAATAGGTAGAAATTGGTAAACGCTTTCATCCGAAACATCTTAAATGGGAAGTAACTTTTTTTTTTTTTTAATCCAAATTGCTTCCAACAAATGCTTTGACATTTGCCATAATTGTCCAGTCCTCATCTCAAAGCCTCACATTCTGGAAATTGTATTTGTTTCTTCTCTTGGTCTCTTTCTTCTTCATTTATTTCTTGCTTAGACACCAAGAGTCTTCTAGGGAATTTTATCCTCTATTTCCCTTTATTTTCTTTTTCTCCCAGAGACAGTTTTCTGAGTCCTAATCTTCCCTTAAAGCATACAAAAATTCATTATAGAGAAAGCAAGCTAGGGATTTAAGTAGTGTTTAATTCATTGTGCTCAATGAAGGAGAAGTTGAGAAATGAAAATTGCAAATTTAAGGAAAAATATACTTTGTGTTCTGTGAGACAGAAACAACTTGGTATTACCAATTTCTGCTGCTCCTTCCTGTCACTGGGCAGCTCCAGCCCGAACATTTCCCTTTCAGCTGGTGCTGGCCTGGGGCTCCTGAGTGTGATGGGGGAACTGATGAAGATTTAAAACTAAAGATATTTTGTGGTGTTGGGTTTCAACAGATCAGCCCGAGTGACCACAAGGCACAGGATGGGCAGCTCCACTGGTGCTGCCCATGGTCACTTACGGCTGCAGATCCCGCTCGGTGGCCCCACGCTGCTGGGGTTTCCTTCCCCTGCTCCCCAGGCAAAAGCTCCTGCTCCTGAAGAAGTTCTCTGCTTCACCAGAGGGTACAGAAAATCAGTTTTGCCCTGAAGATACACACACAGAAATGAGTTTCTCACAAACCATCACAGCTTTGATTCAGATTTCCATTTTTGTCTTCCTGACAGAAAAAAAAATAATAATAATTGATTAAATCAGAATGTTTTTCCTCTTCAGAATACTGACTTCCAATTCCAAAGTGTAACAATGTTAAAATGTCACCATTTCTGTTGATTTGATAGCAAAACATTTTTCACACAATCCTTGCCTGAGGCAAGGCAGTGACAGGCAACGGCTCTGTCGGCGGCAGCAGAGAATTCCCCCGTCCCTGTGCTGCACGTAACCAGGGTCAAGCAAATCTGCGCTGGTGCTCAGTGTCTTACAGCAGCACACCGTGCATCATCATCGTTGCCCCGTGCCTTCCTGGGGGCTGCACGTCACCTTTTTGTGAGCTGTGTTTTTTCTGCTCTCACCAAACTCTGCAACCAATGTTTTGCAAACTCTGACCCAGCCATACACGGTATCACAATAAAGATGTTTTCTCTGTCCTAAGCCAAATTTGCATGCAGCAGAGGGAAGAGAAGAGGAAGAGAAAGAGAAGAGAAAGAAGAAGAGAAGAGAAGAGAAGAGAAGAGAAGAGAAGAGAAGAGAAGAGAAGAGAAGCGAAGAGAAGAGAAGAGAAGAGAAGAGAAGAGAAGAGAAGAGAAGAGAAGAGAAGAGAAGAGAAGAGAAGAGAAGAGAAGAGAAGAGAAGAGAAGAGAAGAGAAGAGAAGAGAAGAGAAGAGAAGAGAAGGAAAAAGGAACTTCCTCTTATATGAATGGTACTAAATTTTGCAGAGCTTTGAGGGCTGGGTATCTAAGTATATTTGGGATGAATTCCTAAGCCCTGTTATTGAAAATGCCTTTCTCCATATTTCACATGCAATAAAGGGTTCACCTTTGCACTTGTAATTACTGCAGTGTTTCAAACAACATTTATAGCTGTGAGCACAAATGGCCATTTATGAACTGCTTGGATGAGCACTCGTAACTTCGCAGAGAGACGAGGCACAATCATCATCTCCCCGCAAGAAGACAGAACGAGCTTCAATATTTGTTTATTCTTCCAGACAGCCACAATTAGAGTAATCACAAATAATCTTTTTCTTTTGCATTTGTTTGCGGATATGTAACGCTACAGAGCAGACCTGCTCGCACACACAGACTCTCCGAGGAAGAGCTTTTGAAGGAATTCAAAAGCAAAACTAGCCCAGCATTTCAATGATTCTGTCAGCAGCAACTTAAGACCTGAATATATGGCTTTATTCCTTTCTTTTTTCTGCAGAGCTCAGGTTCAGACAAAGGTTAAATGAAAGATCCTGCACCCAGGAATTGAGCTGTGCTGTGAAATACTGGATGCCTTAATTAAGTAAGCTGAGGAAAAGACCAAAGAATCTGGTAGCTTTATCGTCTGACAGATGATAAAGCAAAAGCTGTTCAAAAATAGCACGTTAAGATATCTAATAAAATACGCCAGCTCTGGATTTACACTGGGAGAGCCCTCGTGAGCATGAAATGGTGTTTGCTAGCTGAAAGCTTTCCGACTGGTGGTTCTCATTGCAAGGCTCTTGGTAGCTGCAGTGCTTTGGCCCCAGTTTCCATAAGGAAAGAAATCCTGGCTCTAGAGAAGCCACCAAAAACCCCCATTAGATTTTTCTCCAGATTTTTCCAGCTCTTTTTCCCAGGGGATGCATCCCATGCAGCGTGCTGTGCCTGTGCCACAGGCAATTCACCAGGTACACCACGGCTTCAAACACCACGCCTGTTGAGAAAAGGAGTCAGAACCCCAGAAAACATCGGATCCTATTAGGCTGAGGTGTTTCCTCTCCTGCATCTTGCTTTAGAACCGAGCCTCAGTGCTCCCAGGACGGGGCTGTGCTTCCCTGCCCTCCTCTTGTGCTCCTGCCTCCTGCTGGCAAGTGAGCAGCTGCCTTTTCTCACCTCTGCTCCAACAGCTCACACCTGACACTCTCCTTTCAGTGTTGTACACTTATCTAACATCAAGAAGGGAGACTTGTTGTGGATAATAACAGAGAGACCTACATCTACGGCTGTCATTCCCCAGGGCACTGCTCGGTGGTGGTGGGAGAGCATCCCGCACCTCGTTTCCCCCTCAGCACTGAAAACCAGCCCTTCTTGCTCTGAATAATAGGCTTGATTTCTTCTTCTCCACACCAATTTTTGCTTTTGTTATGTATTGCAAAGTTTAGAGAAGTCTGCAGAAGTGAGGGCTTTGGTCCTGAAGGTCTGAGTTGGTGTGGCAATGGGTCAGAGGTGGCACCGCGGGGCGCTGGGCAGCGATGCGCAGACATTGTGTGCATCTTCGTGGTCCCCTCCCTGCAGGGAGGGCAGAGCGGCTGCTTGTGCTTTTTCTGGACTGAAAAAGATCCAGCAAATATGAAATCCATTGTCAGTTTTGCCTGTGTCTCACCACATCACGCAGAAAGGCTCTTTTTATCCAGCAAGTGTTGCTTTGTTTCATTTTTCAGATGCACTTGACTACTGGAGGTGCTTGATTCACATTTACTTTTGTCACCTCTTCCTCACAACTTTTTTTTTTTTTTTTTTTTTAACATCTGAGCTGTCTGAAAAGCAGCAAAACCAAACGCGGGGACACATGATTTATCCTGGCCTCCATGGCATCCAAAACCATCTACCCAGACTGGACAAGTTTATGGAAGGCAGTGGGGAAAGAAAAATGGCACTTGTCCACACTAATAAAACTGTTGGCACAAAATCAGGCTTTGTGAGGGTCAAAGTATTTTCCATTTCCAAAGGTAAACTTTGGCCTGAAGTACAGAAAGCTTGTTTTTGTCTTAAGGGTGAAATGTTTCAGAACACATCAAACTAGCGCTCAGAAAAGAAATTTTTGCAGTTCATGGTTTGATGAGATCGGAGCAGCAAAAGCTTTTCTTCCTTCTTCCACATCTACTGAGAGAATGTACTTATTTATATTATAATGGTCAGGCTAACAGCTTCATTCAAAATGTCCACAACATCATTTTCCTCCTCTTTGATAGTGTTTTCTTGGCTCTGTCTGACTTTGGTCGTGCACAAAATAATTAGGGAGCTCGGGATCAGGGAACTGTCAGCCCAGCTGCCTGTAAGCCAGCTCGTTAATTCATTAAGCGTGTGATTCCTGATTGCAATTCCCTCTCTGCTGTCAGCATTCTCCAGGTGTGAGGATCCCAATTCGGAGAGCTCCAGGACCTGGCAGCTCTCCAGCTCTTTTCTGAGGATAACTGGGCAATGTTTGGGCAATGCAGTGCTGCCGCTAACGATACCTCCCACCAAGGGATTTCAACCCTCCCTCGCCCAGCCAATACAGCTTCCAGGTCTCCAAAAATAAGCCACCTCCATTTTTTGTGTGTTTTTTTTTTGACTTTTGTTGTTGTATTATTATTGCCTGGTTGTATTGGAGGGGTGCTGGGGAGCTGAGTCTCTTGGGTGCTGTGTGATACTGCTTGGAAGGGTGAATCTGATTGCACATCCTGACACACCAACCATTTGAGAAGGTAGAAAACTTGCTAAATTAATCTGAACTACAGCACCAAGTCTTAAATACATACAGGCACACACTCATCCTTCATAACAAGCATCTTTCAGCAGCTAAAACCCCGTACACACTGTCCAGACTATTGCATACCAAATCCAGAGGCAATACAAACATTTTTGGTCTCATTTTTACACGTACAGCTACTGAAAAATCAGGGCATACTTGAGCTTGGCTCAGGCTGAAAGCGCTGTTTGGCCAACATCCTCTTCTCGAATGGGGACAGTTTTGTGACATGGACTTATTGTCCCCATCCACACACCAGGCTGGTTCCCGCAGCGACTGGAAGGAGGAGTCGCTGAATGGCACAGCTGAACACGGAGAACAACGTCGAGGCAAATTGATGGACGTCGAGGGGAGGCTTTGCACGTCCCTGGGTGGACGTTGGCTAAGCCTATTAGTGTGATCAGTTCCAGGTAGCATTTGCTCCGTTACATGAGCTGCTTAATGAAAGCAGTCAGAAAGCACTTAGAGAGGTTTAAGCAATTGAAACAATATCCTTCAGTCTCCCACCGTTGGCTGGGTGATGCTTCAGTGAGGTGCTTCTTAGGAGAGGAAATTAAAGCCATGTTTTTTTATTGAAAATCTGAGAATTTCTGAATTGTGATTCTGGGGCCTCTTCACTTCTTCAAGTAATACCAGGCAAATGCCAAGTGTTAAGGAAGCATGCGTGCAGCCCACATGTTTCATTCCTTTGTGTGTGAGTAATTCCCCTCCTGAATTAAAGTCCTGAAGAATTCATCCATTCCTCTTCTTGGCTGTTCCAAGTCTGAGCTCTCAGTTTGAGGAGAACACCGCAGAAGAATGGGCAGAGCCCTTCTTACCTCCACCCTGCTCCTGCTCCTGCTGAGCTGGCGTTGCAGTTCAGGTGCTCGTAGCTGCAGCTCTGAAGCCTTGGTCACTGCAGAAGGACGCAGCAAACACATCCTCAGAGCCCCCCTTGCAAGCTGAAACAGCTCAGGGAGGAATAAAAGACACATGAGATAACATGTGGGGAATTAAGAGGGGCTGCAAAGGATGTCAGCTTGGGTTATAGCAGATCTTAGCAAACAGAAAGAGCCTTGAACCTGGTGAGGAGAAGGCAAGAGCCCTCATCTGTCCCTCAAAGGGGAAATTCTCTGTCTTTCTTCTTCTCCTCCAAACACCCTGACATCCCTGGAGGAAATGACACGAACAAAGCTCAAATTGAATGCAGCACCTTCTTTCTTTTCACAAAGGCTGCTTTACAAGGGAACTTGGGAAGAAGCCCTGGTCTGCACAGTGCTGGCATGGGCATGCTGCTCGCTGGGCCCTGTTCTTTGCTTAGCTTTTAACCTTCCTATTTTGCCTTGCTCTTTTTGGATAAAACCAGGTCTTGTTGGTGCCAGGGGATGTTTTAACCACCAGTGTGAGCAGAGTCAGGAATTCACATCCATTTTCAAACCTGTCAGCTGAAGCCACTGAAAATCAGTACTGGAGCTTGAGTATGAAACTTTGTTTTTTGAAACCTTTTAAAAAGTTTTTCTATTTATTCTGCTATCTGAAAATAATATGGAAAGATAAAAGCAGATCTCTGGCTGCACTGGAATGGAAACCAAGTCAAATCTCATATTTACACTGCTCAGTAATGAGTACAAGAGCACAGGGGGATTGCATCCCGCAAACACTGCGTCTTCACCAGTTTCTAAAGGAGCTGAGGGCTTCCCAGACCCTTTCTTGTTCCCAGTTTCTCTTCTTTTTTGCTCTCCCAGGCACTATTGGTGCATATTGGTGGTCTCCAGTCTCCACTGGTGGGGATCGACTTTTATGGAAATCCTTTCTTCTGCAGCCTTCTGACCCAAATACCAGCATAAGCAGTTTTCATTTTACTAGGCTCATGCCCACATTGTAACTACCACAACCCCTAGTCTGGGGCCTGCTGGAATAAATATTGCCGACGACCTGTCAGGTACTGCATCATGTTAACATAAACAGCGCCTGGAGCTTTAGCGAGGCACTGCCAGCCACATCTGCACTTGGCCCAGCTCTCTCCATCTTTCACATCAAACCGCACAGTGACGTGTTCCCTTTGGGATAGATCCTCTTGTAACGGCACCAACTAAATAAGAGCACAGACCCAAGGAGCTTTGAATACACAGGGGCTGTTTCTCCAGAAACCAAAATTAATGCAGATCCCTGCCGTGAGTCCCATTACACTGCCTTATAGGTTATTCGGTACCAGCCAGAGCATGCATTCCTTGAGCATTGCTGGAGATGTGACATTGCTGATGTGCTGAGCCTCAGGAAAGGCTGAGAGATTTTGCTCCAGTAGCTCTGTACCTACCCAAACAGCTCCTGCCTTTGCCCACAAGTTCTGATATGCTGCACGTATTTCAGCTCCCCTCGAAACACAAAGGAAAAGTGGTAAATTGGCCAAAATTGCCGCAACAAAGCTATCAGGGAGGCTGGGCTGGAGCTTCTCTGGAGGTCTTACCAACTGCAGACGCAGCTGAAAGCAAGAGCAGCATCTATTCTCTCCCTCCACTGGGCACTGCCAGGGCTTTGTACATGTGAGGTATTGCTCCAGGTTCATGCTAACACCGTGCCAGTTTTCTGAGACATTGGCCCTGGACAAGGGCTGCTTCCCAGCCAGAGCCCCAGGATACACACAGTAAAACAAAATACTCACTGCAATTTAATGCAATTTAACTTCCCGGATTGCTTCCACATTCAGTTTAGTCTGAAAGTCAAGACTGGCACGGTTTAAATCTTCTCTTGCACAATGTAAAAGCTGTCGCTCAAAATTTATGTTTCCTGCGTGATAAACAGGGGCTTGCCGCGCCACCGCGCCTCCTTCCTCCCTGCCCTTCCTCCTTGGGATGTGGTTCAAACAGGCAGAGAACTGAGCCACAACAAGACCAAATAGAGAATTATAGGATGCAATAATTCAGGTTTAAATATGCTTTTAAATTAGGAGTCTGAGTTCAAAGGGAAATGAAGACCCAGCCTGGTTGGCTTGCCCAGGTCTCCCCTCTGCTCCCAGCCTCACAGGTTTGGCACCTCGTTTGCTCAAATGTGGGAAATATCAAGAATTAATGGAGCAGCTCTGCTCCTCTGCAAACCACATTTCCACGTGGCAATTGAATTAATTAGAAGAGAGGAAAAGGCCTGGTTCTGATGCAAGGCATGCACTTCTACCTGTCCAGCAGAGAAGGGGAGCAGCCGTGCTCTCTGCACAGAGGCAAACAAGTCACAGGTTTCTTGAATTTTTTAGTTCAAAAAACTGAGGCATGAAATCTCAGAAACGGCCCAAATCCATCCCCTTAGTGGTGTCTTTTTGGACTGCTGAAAAGCTGCAGGCCCTGTAGTGATGGATTACATCTGCAATCACAACGGCCATATAGCAGCCAAAACTACTCAGATTGAAATAATGAATTCAACTGGACTATAATAATATATAATAATATAATAATAATATATAATTATATAATAGATAATGATATATCATAATGAATTCTTATTCTAGAGAATAAGAACAAACTCTCTAGCCTTCTTTCCCAAACCTGTCCTTCCCAATGCCTAAAACTTTACTGATTAAATGACTCTTTCAGCATTCCTGGAAGATGCTTTCCTACATCACACAGGCTGATGCTAAGAGAATTTCCCCATCTCCACTGTTAGTAACATGTTTAATAAACGCGATAGTGTGGGCTTGAAATAAAGCCGTGAGTACAGAGCTGGACACCAAGAATTATTGGATTTCTGTACAAATTGCTTGGTGACTCCACCCTTGATGACACTCCCAGAAAGAGGGCACAGACATTTGCCTCCCCACCCCTGCCCCACTGGAGTGGGGGAATTTCACTGCATTTACTGGAGCCTCCCCTGTGCTTCTTGGCTGTGTAATGGCAATGGGAAGATGCAGCCACAGGCAGTCTTGCCCCTCATGGACTGTTTTTCAAGGGATACGCATCACTTCTCTGTAGTCACATAAATATTTTCAGTCCCAAGGCAGAGAGAAATGCAACTTTGGCCTCCAAGTGCCAAGTAGCTTGATAAGAGCTCTGCTGCTTCCTAGCCCTTTACAGGTCACATAAAGGACAAGAATAATGTGGCCCTTATTGTCTGTAGAGCAAATTTGGGATAAAAAAATTAACATAATCATTTTATTTAGTCTTGATTTTCTTCTTGGGTTTTATTGTGTTATGTTTTAACTGAGATTTCTTTGTTTCCTGCTGGGATTCTGCCAGAATCCCGTCATTTCATACAGAGGTTGAAATACATATTACAAAAGGAAACAAGTCTTTCCCTTGATTGCCTGATATATCTGCTTTTTAATCTATATTGACGAACGCTCAGCACCAGAAGGGCTTTTATCCTTCAGAGTTTTTGCATTTTGTTTCTCATTGGTTGATGATCCTTGGCTAGAATGTGGAGAGGAAGAAAAACTCTCATCCTTCTCTTTTTGCTCTTTAATTAAGGAGTTGTATGATGGCAATGTCCAGACCCAAGCATCTTGTAATCACTGTCTCAGGTACTGCACAAATATAGAACAAAAGGCCGAGCTCTGCCACCACAAAGCAGCTCCCGAGGCTGTTTAATGATCCCAAGCACCATGGGGACCGCGGCCAGTGTCTCCGCATAACCAACTAATGGGATTACAGCGTCCCTGCTTCCCTGTCTACCTGCATGAAAAACATCCACTAACTGCTTCTCTGAGCACTGTAGACAAAATACCTGGTGCTGTAAGGGCATAAAACACAAGGACAGGTGCAAATGCAGAGCAGTTTCATTTAGCCTGCGTCTGAACTAGGCATCAACCATCCCTTATCTGCGCTGTATCTTTTGTTCATAATGTCACTGCTTCCATGCTTATAGATATTTTCTATTATTTCTGTTATGCCTGTTTTTACGGACATTTTCAGGCTGCTTTTCCCTCCAGGTTATTAATTCTTGGCACAGCAGGAAGGTAAGAACAAAGTGGGGCTTTAGGAAATCAGTTTATGCTGATAAGCACCTCTTCACACAGGTCCCTTTCTCACCTACGATGAAGAATTGCTCGCGAAAAGTTAACTTTTTTCATTCTTTGCAGGTGCTGTGGTGATCGCCTTTGTGGTGTGCTGGCTCCCCTACCACATACGGCGCCTCATGTTTTGCTACGTCCCCTCCAGCCACTGGACAGAGTGAGTGATCGGGGCCTAGTGGGGCCTGGGGAGCAGAGGTGTGACCACGGGGTCAAAGCCTCAACCTCTTAATTGGTTTGTTCTTTATTATGGATTTCTTGCTGTGATTGCCAGACAAAATCAGGAGTCCTTGCTTTATCACCTAATTCCCCCAGGTGTGGGAGGGGAAAGCATCAGCTTGCCCTGAAATGCATCAGCAGCCCTTCCTGCCGTGGCTGTGGCCACAGAATCGCCCCCACTGGCAACGCTGATGGATATTCACCTTTGGCAGCCCTTGATGAGATGATATTTGGCAGAGGCGTTTATGCATCCGAAGTGGATCGCTGTCTCCGTGGTGGAGATATCGATCACCGGCCCCAGGACAAGGCAGCTCCTGTCAGCGCAGTTTCATTCCCCAGCGCCACCTTCCCTTAGTGACAGGAGAGATTACTCAGATGAGAAAATAACCAGGCTGCTCACTGAGGGTATTTACTTGGTTTTAAAATGAGTGGATCAAAATTAAATACCAGTAGTTGTCACTGAGGGACAGGTACCTACACACATTGCACACCTACACTGAATGCACGTGCGGTGCTCACAGACGGCTGCTGGCAGCCTTTCTGCCACATCAAGCCAGGTCCCTTGGCAAAGCAGCCACGGAACTGTTTATTCATTTCAAATATGCAATTAAGAGCTCATTATGTCCAGGGATATAAACCTAGTTTAGCCTGACAGAGAGATGGCATGAGAGGTGCTCAGTGAGAGATGCTTCCCTCCTGCCACAGCGCTGCATCCCTCTTCCCTCTGGAACCAGCTCTGCTTCCTGCAATGTCCAGGAAACGAAAAAATCCTCGGATACCAAGAAGCTGAGCAACAAGGAGACATTAAAATTTCATAAACGCCAAAAGCAAATAATAGTAATTTATGATACAGCAGCCTCCTGAATGGGATTGTACATCCATCCGTAGTAAAAGCCAAACCCTATCTTTAATCATGAAAACAATAGAGCTTGAGGCACACACTGGGGCCAACTGTGGTGTCTTGTTTGCTTTCCTATAAGTAAAGTACTTAAAGCAGCAATCAATTCTGTAGTGCCCGCGTTTGCTATGAGCAAAAGGGGTAGAGAATCCCATCAGCAGTTAGTGTGAATTTATGCATTGTGGTTGCATTCACTTTTTTTTTTTTTCTTTTTTTCTCTTCTATTAAAAGCCATGAGTGATTTTAGGAAAACGTTGAATTTACAGGCATGTTATGAATGCTGAGCTATCAGTACGGTAGCTAATCAAGAGCTCGCAGCAGCTTGACATAATCATTTATAAATGAAATGCATGTGCCTGCCCCTGAAGAAGATAAATCTGCGTTAAATTAATTCTTCACAACTACATTGAGAAACTCTGCTCCTAAGAGCTGGATGGGCCGGGCAGTACTTGGCAGGGCTGAGGGGGCCGTGGGGGAGTGGTGATGTACTCCAGCACACGGCTATTTATCTTTTGTTAGACAGTGCTCAGACTAACAGAAAGGTCTGTGGTTTCCACTGAGATAAATGATCCTGAGGAACGGTTTCTCTGAAAATGAGACCCACGTTGTTTATAAACCCTTTACCATCTCTGAGATGTTGATCTCAGTTTTCCCAAAGAAAGCTATTTCAGAAAGAAACAAAAATAACTAAGTGTTTTCAACCAGTTCTAGCTGAAAACATTATCTTGTGGTGGTCAGGATGTGTTTAAAAGCACGCTGTCATCAGCCTGCCCCCAGAACAGAGAAAACCATCCCAGAGCACAGACAAATCCCAACGCGGGGACCCACCGAAGGAGCTGGCACAGCTCTCGCTGCCTGGGGAGGAGATTGCTGCTTCTCTTACAGGGTCTTGGCTCCTCCGCAGGCTCTGTCTACCAGAATTGCAGCCAGAAAGTCAAGCTCATGTATATGCATGACACAGAAGCAAATCTCCAAGTGGTTTCTCAATTTCAAGCGAGACTATTTTCAAAGGCAAAATAAGTATGTGAGGTAAATATCCCATCCCAGGGCATAAATGAGTTTTGAACTGATAACAACGGGGGCAAGAGCTCTGTAAAGCTATTTGACCTACATTTGTCCGGTGGCAGCTGACAACACAGGGCACATAGCAGAGAAAGCTTAGCTGGAAGAACAACTTACTCTTTTTTCACCCTTGTGCCTTTGAATTCTTTCAGTTCTCCACACTCAGACTTCTGTCTTTCATCTGTCCTTCCAGTTTCCTTTACAACTTCTACCACTACTTCTACATGCTGACCAACGTCCTCTTCTACGTCAGCTCGGCCATCAACCCCATCCTGTACAACCTGGTGTCTGCAAACTTCCGACAGATCTTCCTCTCCACGCTCACGCTCCTGTGCCTGCCGTGGAGGAAGAAGAAAAAACGCCTGGCCTTCACCAGGAAATCCAACAGCATCTCCAGCAACCACACGTTTTCCAGCCAGGTCACAAGGGAAACAACGTACTGAAGCCAAAGGAGGAAGGGAAATGCATTTCATCGTGGAGTCATAACTCGAGAGAGGCCTCTGTGACTTTCAGGCATGGTCTCCAAATTCACGTAACACAAGCGTGTTTAGCAAAGTCATTTTTGTCGGGAAAAATAGGCTTCGTTCTGCCAGTAACTTTGAGGTTATTTTAACGCGTTGGCCTTGCCTCTTTGTGAGTAATGTCTACACATTTTGTAACTTCGGTCTGGCATAAATCCAGGTGCAGTGCTAACTGGGAAGCCAATATATGTTAAACGTAAGCAAATTCATACTGCATTTCATCCTTTTCTCAAGGCAGAGATGCCATTTCCATGTCCAAGGGTTCGAGATCACATCTCTTGGCGGCAGCGAGCAGAGTCTGATGAGGAGAAAGCAGTTTTGAACAGGGAGGGATGTTTTTGGAGAAGGGACATGCTCATCTATGGGATGTTCAATGAGCAAGGAGTGAAACCTCAGGGAGCCAGGTGGTGGGTGTAGAAATAGATCTAAATTCTTATGAATATGACCTGGGTGCTCAATCGAGCCACAATGGTTCCTTGAACTTAAATACCAACAGATGATGCCTTACTTAGATTGGGCTGGGAGTAGCTTGGGATCATCGTTCACTTTAGGGCATGTGTAGTGCCTGGCACAGCGAGCCCTGCACCCCCTGCTTTGGGTACTGCAACACCAGTAACAGAGTCTCTGGCAAAGCCAGGGAATGCAGAAACTGTGCCCAGCTGGAGTGCTGCAAATGAACAGAAATGGAAAATCTTCCTTATGCCACACAGCCAAACCCTGCATTTTTTATTTATTTATTTTTTCCCAGGCTCCAGTCTGCTGAGAGAAGAGCAACCTGCCCCATTTCTGTGGGACTCTCAGATTTTTCACATTCTGATTCAGTTTTGCTTGTTTCCAGCACTATTTTCACACAGGCTGACATTTCATGGGTTATCAGTTGTAGGCGGCAGGGCCTCTTTTTCTACCTTTTCTTTATTTCTTTTTGCTACCAAACCTGCTGGCTTACTGATCTGCACATACACATCTTCAGATAGTGCAAATGAAGAACACAGGACAGTCTAAGCTGGGGAGTCCTAGCTCTAAACCAACTTTAACAAGTCAGAGGAGCAGCAGCGAGAGCTGTTTGCAGCAAATCCAAGTTTGGGACAGCCAGAGGTTGTGCTGAACCATGACTATGAGCACACTCTTAAAAAAAAAAAGGGATCAAAATAAGAGAATATAAAGCTTATCTTCTCTTCCCCTTCTTTCTTCACCTTGATTTTTGCTTTGAATTTGAAATTTCTCAGCTGGCCAGGATGGGTAGCATGAGGTTTTCGCCCTTACGGTCCCACCTCTAACAGCCAACTGGGAGATGCAACAAATTCTCTCGAGCCTTTAGCACCAGAAGTCACGGGTCTCTGGGACAAAGCCAAAGGGTCACAGCACCACGCTGTGATCTGCACGAACCTGGGAACCAAACCATCATCCTGTGCAGCCTATGCTTGATTTGCTGTTAGTAATCTTGTGTCCCTGTTCACACCAAGGCAGCAACTACATTGGGTCGGTCCCTGCCCACATGCTCCCTGCCGGTGCACTCCTCCTACATCTCACACGCTGGACAGAGTCAGAAACCCACCCAGCGAGCCTCCAGTTACGCTCACACAACGGTGAGCCAAAGACATCCTATCAGGAAAACCTCACATTTTGTTAAAGGTCTGGCTTTGACAAAGGGAGACAGTGACAAACCATTGCTAGCCATTCAGACAGACTCCAAAAAAGAGGTGAGCAGTGTCAGGGCAAAGGGCAGACCGGAGAGCACTGCTAAGGCTGGCTTTTAGCTGCAAGAAGGGCTGTTCTCTGGCGGTGACACACATTGCTGTTCATTTCTGCTGCTCAGAGCAGCTGTGGGAAAGCCAGTGGCTGCAGATCGCTCCTGGTCAGAAGCACAGAGCTGGCTACTACCACGTAGATCTGGCTACAACCAGCCGTGACTTACAACGGCACCTAGCAGGGATGGGGAAATTATTTTAATGCCTAGTACAGAACCACTCCAAAAGAAAGGGCTCCAAATAGGAATCAGCAGGGTCTTAGTTCCCTCTGATTCAGCCAAACTACAGGCTTTGTCCTGCCATGCCTTCTCTTAATTTCTTGCCCTGGTTGCACGAAACAGAGGGCAGAGTTTACAACTGACAAAGCACTTTTGTTGCTCGTTTGCAGTTGACTCCTCTTCAGTAAGAAAAACTGGTAATGGGACAAATAAATAAGAGAGGCAAAAAGGAGACTGGTCTCTCCTTGGAAGGAAATCTGTGAGGAACCAGCAAATGCTATCATGTTGGTGTTTAGTATCGTGTGTGTGTGTTAGAAATGGCTTGGGCAGGCTGGAGGAAGAAGCTATAGACCTTACGTGCTGCCTTGTGGGCTATGTACTACGTGTAGGAACTGCAGAACCATGGGCAGACTTACTTGTGTACTCTTGGTTTACTCACTGTTGCTGCCTTCATCTATGTCTGTCCAGTGAAGCTCAGTCAATTTTGACTTTTATGGGGGACTGCAGCTGCGAGCAGCAGCCCTAAAAGAGGCAGGTTTGTACAGGCACGGGGGAGATGCAGCACTCATGGCAGCTTGGCAGCTTCCAGCTGAATAAGACAAGGAGGTTGAGGTGGCCACACAGCAAATAACGTGGTGTGGGCATAATCCGTAACAGACCCTACAAAGCCACTCATCTCCACTGCCCTCACTGCTCCTGTGCTACAGGAGTCCAGGTAAAAGGAGCAGAGGAAGAAGAGTCTTAATGTCACACGCTTACTGCTGGCCTTCAAGGCGAGACAACGTTTAAATGGCTCTGGAGAGGACCCACACTTTTTAACTTCACATCTAAAAAGAGTCAACAGCTGGGAGGTGGTGTCGGAAACCTCCTGTGGAAGCTCCAACTGTGCATTGCTTTGACTTTTGTTAGGATTTAACATCCTGCATGTCTCAGTTGCTTTTGAATATCCACCTTTGAAATGTTTAAAGTTACTACTATGCTTGTTAAACACCAACCTGCTGAAATGCGCTTGATTAGCTTAGAAAACACTGTACAAAAAATGTTGTCTCACATAAGCTGTTTGGCTTTGATTTTCATTGCTGAGACACACCGGCGGTTTACAGAATTTTTGATCACAGCTCTGAGAGAGTGGTAGGTTTATTTCGGGTTTAACATGAAAATGGGAACGAGCTGGAGTGAAAATGAACTGATCAGAAACTTCTGCAATGTTTGTTGGGCTACACAAGTCCTGCAGAGCTGCTCACGTTGGGATATTTATCCGAGCAGTTTACTGGTTTCTAAAGCTCTGCTTCTGCAGTTTTAGTGGGTGCAGACCTAAGCCTATGGCCTTAACCTGAGAGTGCAGCTCAAAGCTACCTCTTCCATAGGGCAAATCTGACTACCTGAGCTGAGAAGTGGGAGTTACAGCTGGTTTCACCCTCTTCCTCCTCCCCACCTAGTTTTGCTGTATCCAGCATAGAATTTTAGTGTCCCTGAGCTCAAGGAAGTGAGGATAACTCAGTACAAGGCCCCGCGGTTTTGTAGATGAACGCACGGTACTCAAGGGAAGAAGGTACAAAAAGCCTGGTATATACCAAGGGCATCTGTCAGAAAAATGGTTCTTTCTTTCCATGCCTTTTAACGATGGTTGAACAACTAACCCAACAAGGTTTGGCTTTAAACCTGATCGAGTACAAGTGGCTTTTGCCATTAGACAAAATGCATGCTCTCATCCTTCGTATTCCTGCCTTGTCTGAATTCTCTGCTGGGGCAGAGGGGTGAGCATTCATGCAGCACGCTGCTAATCTATGCAAATTTCCTCTAAGTGTTTTGAACTGTTTGTTTCAAGTAAAAAATCTGTTGAACCCACAGATGTGAAGTGCTGCCAGATGGATTCAGAGGGATTCCCATCTGAAGAGAGACTACCAAGTGACCTCTCCAGATATTATTTTCAGCTTTCATTTATCTTCACAGCATTCTAGGCAGGGCCATCCATTTGGCAGCGTGTGAAATCAGATTTCCCAAGTCGTTATGCTATTCAGAAATTTCCCCCAGACAGGACTTTCTCACCAAAGGCCCAGTATGCATCAGAGTTCGAACGCTCTGCTGAGTTTGTCTTTTGGTAAAGTGCACGAGATCTCGCTTCAGCGGCGGTGCCGGTAAAGAAGAAACCTAAATGGAAAGGTTGGTGAGGAGGGTTAGCAGGACACAGGCAAGAGTCACGGGACCTTTGCATTTCTAGCATCAAACATTTAGGGAAATGTTAGTCGGGTATCTTCCTGACCCTGTCGTTTGGTGGCTGTTTCAACAAAGCTGTACCTGCTGGAGCTCTGTCTGATTCTTGACATCACAGATGAACCTTCTGTTTTCAGTTTGGATCCATTCAGTAGAGAACCAGAAATTGCTAAAATCCATGGTGCTGTGTCCTGGCTTTGTGATCAAGAGTCCTTCCCCAGCTGTGCCACCTGATAGTCCTGCACATACTGTATCTATGGTAAACATTTTTTGAAGTGCACCTTTTTTTATTGTTTTTTTCTGAAATACAAAATGTTGATGTGCTTTATTTTCTGTGGCCTCTTGTGCAATGGGAAAAAAAAAAATGAATGTTAAAAGTGTGTCAGAGTCTCCTTTGTATGAGTTTCTGTGACAAAGGGAAGGAAGAGGGTGTGAAATCCTTTTGTATAGCAATGGGAAACACTCTTTCAATGTAACATGATATTATTGATACTGTATTTACTGATCAAACAGTAATGAAATGGTTACTTCCTGATATTAGCCTTTGTACTGTATGGTATTTTACTTCGTTTTATTTTATTTTGTCGTTTATTGATCCTAAGAAATAAATATCTGAATTTAAGGCTTTGGGCTGATTATGCTTGACCTGGTAGCTGTGCTTGGATCATACAGCTTGCTTACCACAGCAGGCTATCTGACTGCCCATCCTGAGCTGTGAAATCACATCAACCTCCAACCGACCACTGCAACCCCTCTGCAGAAGGGTCCTGAGCGCTCCTGTCCCACAGCAAGCTCTGGCTGTTTAGCACCAATGCTGTGTCCAAACGCCAGCTTGTGTGTGCACCTGCAAGTAGGCAAACAAAGGGGTGAGAAGCCTGGCTTGGGCTGA